TCCCTCCCTCATCCCCCCCCCCTCCCGCCCGCGTCATAGACAAGATTCTTCAGGGGCGATCGGTGGTCTTCAGGGGCGAGTGTGGGTGGACAGGGTCTGATGAGGGGAAGCAAGATACGTACCTGGTACATGGAAGAGGTCGGCTATGGTGTTGACGTCATGTACATTGGTCTTCGAGAGTCAAAGTGAGCCTGTTGCGAGAATGCTGATGTAGGTAGGATAGTCAGGTGGCGTAGGCTGGGCGCTGGGCGCCAGACAGAGAGGAGCGACTTTGGATACTGTGTTGGTGTAGCCTGAGGGCTTGAACATTGGCCCATTACTTCATTGTTTCGCAACTTGGTTCTCTGTATATCGTTCCCACTCATATTCCTTGCAGAAGTTGCAGGTTTATCACAAATTATCAGCCAAAAACTTGCAAAAAGTAGGTCCAAAAAAAAAAAAGAAAAAAAAAAAGAGGGCCATATCTGTTTCAGTTTTTTATTTCCCGAAAAGAAACAAACTTACTGCTCTTGTCTTTTTTTTTTTTTTTTTTTTTTTTTTTTTTTTTTTTTTTTTTTTTTTTTGTCCCTTGTGAGAAGAAACTCAAGGATGTCAAGTGCTGACGAGTACTAAGTCGTTGCTGCAACCGTGCTGCGGTGGGCTGAAATGTGGGTGTTTTTTTTCTTTTTTTTCTTTTTTCTTTTTTGAGATGGGCTGAAATCTCATCACTGGTATGTCTTGAGTTTTGATTATCGGGTTACGGTTGCAGTGGTAAAGACACCCAGCTGCATTCAGCTGTTATGGCCGAGGTCACCGGTTCAATTCTATCTGGCTGGAGATCAATCAGGGCTACAATGACAAACTTCCTAACAGCACAAAGTTTGTAGACCGAATGTGTTCATATGGGGGGGGGGGGGAATCATATTAGATGATCGGATGACATTGTCTGTTGGGATCCCATGTGTATGACAGGTGGTCCGCTGGGGGCGGTCAGTGTTTGCCAATATCCAAAAGTTTATCCAGTTCCAGCTGACAATTAACATTGCGGCCCTCTCAATCAACTTTATATCAGTCTGTGAAGGGAGTCCCATTCCTTTGACGACTGTCCAGGTGGGTGGGACACTGGGACAGGGTTCCTTTTCCATTTTGTTGGGTAGGTGTTTCTGAATGATGTTTTTTTTTTGTTTTTTTTTGTTTGTTTTTTTTTTACATTGTGTTTTGTTTGAAAATTTACTGCATAATTTTATTGAACCTATTTTTTATTAATGTTTTCGCCTGGGGATTTCCTAATTTAGAAATTTGAGAACACCTGCCCTCTCAATCACCTTGATATATTAGTATGTGAGGGGAGAGTCCCGTTCCCTTGACCACTGTCCAGGTGGGTGGGACACGGGGACGGGGTCCCTTTTCCCTTTTGTTGGATAGGTCTTTCTGAATAATGTTTGTAATGACTTTGTATGTCATTTAAAATGTATTTATTAAATTTATTTACATATTTATTTATGTTTATGGCTGGGGATTTCCTAAGTTAGAAACATCGAGAACACCTGCCCTCTCAATCAACTTGATATCGGTATGTGAAGGGAGTCCCATCCCATTCCCTGGACCTCTGTCCAGGTGGGTGGGACACTGGGGGACAGGGTTCCTTTCCCTTTTATTGGGTAGGACTTTCTGAATAATGTTTGTATTTTATTTTAATGTATTGAATATTTATTTTTTATTTATGCTTATGGCTGGGGATTTCCTAATTTGGAATTTTTGAGAAACCCTGCCCTCTCAATCAACTTATAATCAGTATGCGAAGAGGAGTCCCATCCCATTCCCTTGACCACTGTCCAGGTCGGTGGGACACTGGGACAGGCCCGACAGGGTTCCTTTCCCATTTTGTTGGGTACGTCTTTCTGAATAATGTTTGAATTTCATTTCAATATTTTACTCATTTTGGTTTTTTCTTTCTTAATAAAAAAAATATATTGAACTGATCACAACAGATACTACACTTGATTTTCAAAGCGGTCCTTAGAAAAAAAAAAGGGGTATTTTTCTATTTTCAGCTCCTCCTTCCGGCGATTCTTCCTCACGATAAGTGATACAATGAGCAAGGCAAACATAATGAGCAGGGCACTCCAGCCAAGCCCACAAACAAGAGCACTAATCACAGGAAATCCCTAACTACTCACTCGACAAAACAAACAAAAAGTTAAAAACAGCATTAAAATCACCGCTGTAAATTTGCCACAACTCCTCCATGTGATTCTTCCGCAAGATAATAAAGTTCGAGGCATAGTGACTCCGTGATTATATAGCCGTTAGATTGATGGTGCAGATCTTCCTGTTTTTAATTCCACCATCTTAACCCGAATGGAACCCATTGTCACTATTATAGCTGCATCTGGGGCAATATCCAGTCTAGATACCGCGATAACGACCTTGTGTTCTATTCGGGGGAAGACAGACACCTCCCGTCGGCCACGTTACTGCAAGGAGCTTCAGAATCTGTCCAAAGCAAAACACACGTTGACGGGAGTCGGCTGTGAACTGGGCCCTGAAACTCAATGGGACTGTAGAACTTGGTACCTGGTTTTGAACTTGGTCCTGAAACTGAATGGGACTGCAGAATCCTGGTACCTGGCACGCAACTGGAGTAGTACATAGCATCATACTGAAAATTGGAGAAAAAAGTTTTAAAAAAAAAGTTTTAAAAACTATGTTTATTATCTTGAGGAAGATTCACATGGAGGAGTTATACCAACTTTAACCGCTGTGATTTTAATGCTGGCTTTGTTTGTTTTGTTGAGTGTGTAGTTAGGGCTTTCCTGTGTGACCAACGGGCGTAGCTCCAGCCAGGATCTTCTATCTGGTGAGTTGTAGGTTTCAACTCTTAAACCACCAGCCCAGCTGTCAGCCGTCGAAAAAAATAGAGTAGAAAAGTTTCTAGTCGGTCGGATGAATTTGGGCGCTCCTGTTCTGGCCTGTACGTTGTACGTTTCCTAAAATCGTGGCTTGCTAACGGGCACAACTTTGGGAAGGAAAAACCACCTGTACTTCCTAAAGTTGTGCCCGTTAACAAGCCACAATCTTAGGAAAAGTGCGGGCCACTACAGGAGCGCCCAAATTCATCCGACCAACTAGAAACGTTTCTACTCTATTTTTTTTCCGCAGCCGATAGCTGGGCCAAGTACTGGTGGTTTAAACTACGAGTTAGCTCATGCGAGCCCACCTTCTTCCCCCGAATACAAGGCACGGTCATTATAGCCGTATCTAGACTGAAATATCCCTCAAATACAGGTATAATAATGACCGTACGTTGTATTCGGGGGAGGAAGGTAAGTTGGCAAAGCTACCTTCCAAGGCTTGCAAGCCTGCAATTGCGCCTTTTCAAAGTGGCCTGCCGCTTTCGCTACTGGCCCGGCCTGGCCCGAATCGAAATGCCCTTACCGCGTATACCAGAACGAGAGGGACAAGTGCATTCTGAACTCAATGCGCAAAGTGTTACTTTCACAGAGTGAACCAGTAAGAGCACTACTTAGGTCTGCGTAAAGTAGAGGATTTAACCAGATTTCTAGGCTCGTGTTGGAGGGAGTTGCTGTGGTCATGACTGCCTGGTCTCCTGCTCCCGAAGACAGGAATCCCATCCACTCCTGGGATGACAAACACAAATCTCCTTTTTTTTCATCATCCTTGCGCAGGGGCCATGCTAATCTTCTCTGTATAATAGTTTGAATTTTAACAGATGTTCCGAAGGACCAACAGCGCACAAATCTCCTGAAAATTGTTAAGAAAATGGAAACGCTCCTTAGATTCCTTCTGACGTCGGTTTCTGCATTAGACTGTACATGCCATAGAGTCTCCTTCTTGTTCTTCTTCTTCTTCTTCTTTTTTTTTTTTTTTTTTTTTTAACAGGGCCTTATGGTCCTGGCTCCTTTCCATTCTGGGGAGTGACAGTCCGGTTCCTATTCCACCGGCAAGTCAGAATAGATATTACAATACACATAAACCACCCACACTTCCTTCCGTCTGGCCGAAGGACCCCTGATCAGCATTGATTGCTCCACCTTGATGGAGGATTGACTGTCAGCTTGTCGTGCCTCGCTCTTTCCTCTCAGATCAGATAACCAGATCTGTCAGATAAATCACTGCCACCTAGAAAGAGTTCCCTCATTTGTCCAAGCTAGCCTTTGTACTCCCACTTAACCGTCCTGCCCGTGATCCACGATCCCCTCTGTCCCATCTTACCTTTGCTCCTTTTATACCTCTCCTACCGGGCCACTTCCTCTTCTCCTGTTTTGTTTCTCTCCCCTCCTTCTCCCTTCTTCCTTCTCCCTTCTTCTTTCTCCTCCTCCCCTGTAGGTCTTCAGTTTATCTGATCCCATCTCTAGTTTGTTCCTAAAGCCCCCTTCCTCAAAAACCCCGAACCCTAAACCCTCGTCTGATGATAGAACTTCCCAGGTTGAGCCAGGCCGGGCGGAAGGATTTTCCCGTCCGTGAGGATCCCTTAAACCCTTAATCTCTAGACCTTCAACTATTGTCATGCTCTATGACACCCTTACTCCCGTCTTGTCCACTCCTCTTAGATGTCTAATCGTGGAACGTCTTGTCTCTCAGCGGTTATCGCTTGTTGGTGAATCCTTCCTGGGTTTGAATTGTGCCAATCCTTCCAGTGAATATGGTCTTCACGTAGCTCTGCAATCTTGCCGTTTATCAACCAGTTTTTGCTGAAGGTCGATCTCTCCTTCCTTCGTTGTTCCTCGTCCTCCGTCCATGCCTGCTTGGTCTTCCTCCATCTGCAGAGGATTTTGGCTTGTATCATCACTTTTGTCTCTATCCACACTTTTTGGCGTGGGTTGGACAGTCCTTCAATCGTTCTACTGCATCTTTCCTTCCATATGACCCATAGTGTGGTCTTTCTGATGAGACAAACCAAATTTTTTCTGCCTTCTGAAACTGTTGAGGGATATTAGTCAAGAGGAGAAGTTGGATGGGATGTTCGGGAAAGGGAGTTGTGAAAAGGGAGTCCCAGAGTGTCGATGCTATTGCCCAGTAGTCTGTCGCCTCCCTACAACGTATTAGGCAGTGGATCATGTCCTCTATCGTCCCATTATTGCAGACCATGCATAATTCTGAGCTGTTAGGATCTGAACTCTTACGCCTCTTGTGTAGCCATTGGTTCACTGGTAATGCTGAGTAGGTGATTAGCCATTGTAAGCTTCTGATTTTAATTGGCCTGATGAGTTTGAACTTTTTCCACTGGATCTGTGTGATTTTGTCTGCCTCTTGGCCCAGTAGATTGTGCCATCTTATTTTAATGATAGGGTCAGGGTACTTCGTTTTCAGTGATAGTTTGTACCCTAGTTTAACTGTATAATCGTGAATTGGGATTTTGGATTTGATATTTTTAGTCTTGTCCGGTATCCATGCCCATTCCGCTGGGTCAAACTCTAAGTTGTGGATTGCTATGTCCGGTCTGAAGATTGATTTGGGCCATGAGCTGAGGACTCTTATCTTCCTGAGTAGGAAGTAGTCCAAGACTACCGACTCAACGTCGCTGTTCAAGATAGCCGGCATGCTGGCAGCAGTCGTGGAGATTGGGAAGGAGAGGAAGGTGGCCTTGGTTTGTGAGTCTTGTTGCATGTGGGAGAATTGGAAGGCTCTCGAAGGGGTTGTTTCTTGTATCTTGATTCCCCATTCTCCAGGTTTCCATGGGGCTGCCTCCGCTAAGATATCTTTCCATTCTTGTGGAATAAGGCTGACAATATACTGGAGATTGGGTCCTCGTTTATGGCATCCTTTCAGTTGGGAACTAATTTCTTGTTATGTCTTCCATTATTTCCTGTCCTCATTCCATATGTGAGCGATTTTCCATATGCCACTTTTGACCCAGGAGAGTCATTTGTGTTCTAAGAAAAGGGGGTTGTTACCTTCATTTGTCACCCATTGGTTCCTGAAGAGCGGCTGCCTTAGAACTTCATCTTTAGATCTCGGTCTGTTGGATTTGTTTGGAATTATTTTTCTCCAGATTCGAAGTAGGGCCGTCCAGTTTGGGGTAGCCGGCCTATAGCCTTCTAGTCTGGTGTCTCTTGTTCGGTTTCTTCTGCCCGTGGCTATGATCCAGTCTTTATACCAGAACGGTCCTGACATATTCTCTGGTGAGGGTACCGGGGCTAGTGATCTGATGCTGTCCAAAGCTAACTTATGTCATGCGCTGTCTGGATTCATCAGGAGTTTAATGATCCACTTAATCTGCAAAGCTTTTGTTTCTGTTCCGGGGTCTATAATCCCTAGGCCTCCCTTTAGTGGGCTCCTTGTGACATAGTGCCATGCGACTTTAGATATACTGTTCTCTTTGTTGGGGTCTCCTGACCATAAATAGAGCCTGGCTTTTTGGTTCAATTCTTTAATGGAGTTATCCGGGGACAGTCCAGATGGAGGCCAGGTACCACATCATTGAGAAGACCGAAGTGTTGAGGACCAGTGCTCGCCTGATGAGGGACGTGAAGATACTGCCCCATCTTCCTAGTTTATTGATTTGTTTGGTCAACATGTTCTGGCCCATTTGAGGTGCTAGGCCTTCTCTTGTCATGAATACACCAAGGTACCGGGTAGGGGTGTCTGACGTCTCCCAAACCATGGCTGCTTCCTCTCCTTGTAATAATAAGGGTTCCTCGTCTGATAGCCACCATCCTATTGTTTTCCCCCAGTTGATCTTCATTTCTGAGGCCAATCTGAATGCTTCCATTGCTTTAGCCAAAGTCCTGAGCGATGAGTCGGTAGCTCTAATCAAGAGAGTTAGGTCATCCGCAAACATGATCGCTGTGGGGAAATCTATTTGATGAGGTGAGCCTACGTTGGTGGTGGAGAGCCTGTGGATTGATGGGTCCTTGCGTAGGAATGATGCAATAGCTTCCATTACAAACAGGAAGATTGAAGGGGCCAATGGATCCCCTTGTCGRAMTGAGCGGGATATCGGGTAGCAGTCCGACAGAAGGCCGTTGACTTGGMCACAGYCCGTTGCATYTTTGTATAGTATCTGRCTCCATTTTMTGAAATTCGGTCCAACTCCCATCTTTTCCATGCTAGCTTCCATAAACTCCCAGTTGACTTGGTCATAGGCCTTTTCGAAATCAAAGAAGAGTATAGCAACGTTTATTTTCCTCTCCCTAATCTTCCTTACTGTCTCATTTAGTGTCAGTACATTATCTAGGATGTATCGACCCGGGATAAACCCTGTCTGATCAATGTGAAAGCATTTATTCGTGATTTGGGTGAGTCTGTTGGAGAGGGTCTTTGCCAGGATTTTGTATGGAAGTGTTAGTAGTGAGATTGGCCTATAGTTTTTAATATCTTCTTTGTCGCCTTTCTTATAAAGTAGTGTGACCACACTTCTACTGAGTAAGTTGCCAAGTCCCCCCTTTGTCCAACTGTCGTTATAATAATTTAGCAGGTCGACTCCTAGAAGGGGCCATAACTTTTCCCAAAATTCTTTCCTTAATCCGTCGATCCCAGGAGTCTTGCCGTTATTCATGCCTAGTAAGGCTAGATGTAGTTCCTCTATCGTGATTGGTTTATCTAGTGCCTTGGCTTGTTCGGCAGTTATTGTTCGTTCCAGATGGTGAAACATTTTCTGTCTTGCTTCCCTTGTGCTGGGAGGTACCGGTGTGGAGGTTTTTGACTGGTAGAGGTCCCTATAAAAGTTTTGGGCTATCTCTAGCATCTTTTCACTGTCCGACATCACCGTCTCTGAGGCCATCGTAGGTCTCAAACCTTCTATTGTATTAGCTCTCGAGTTGGCCTTAATGCGAGCAAAGAAGCGTTTTGTTTTGTTATTGAGTCACTGAGTTCGTATTCGCACATTCTAGCTCTTGTTTGCAGGCCTTTTAAATCCCACCATCTCCACATCGCCAGCTCCTCTCGTGCCTTCTCAAAGATGTCATTATATAGTGGCGAGGAGGGGTTGTTTATCAAGTTGGTTTCGGCCAATTTTAGAGCAAATTCTAGAGACTGTCTTCTTTGTTTCCTAATGGACGCGAGTTTTCTAGAGGTTTTGGCCGCAGTGGTTGAGAGGGTGGAGTAACTTTTCTGGAACCAATCCCCCCGGGACTCGGTGCTCAAGTGTATAGATCTTTGTCCCATCCAACAGTCAATTATCTCCTTTTGGAAGGTTTGGCTGAGAAGTAAGGAGTTGTTAAGCTTGTGGAAGCTGGCACCCTTTTTGACCACGTGGTCGAAGCACATAATTAACTCTATTGGTTTGTGGTCGAGCCCTGTGTAAGCGGCTAAAGGTAGTACCTCCGCATCTTTTACTGCCCCTATCATTATTTCTGACACCAAGAAAAAATCAATTCGTGAGAAAGTCGTGTGATGTGCATGATTTTTCTTGATCAGGGTGAATGTTTTTTTGGTGGGGTGTAGGGTTCTGTATGGTTCTACCAAATTGTGGTCCAACATCAATTCTTGAATTGGTATTGCTTCTGTGGAATTGACATTATTGGAGAACCGAGATATACGGTCTGCTATCGGATTTATGGTGGCGTTCCAATCGCCCGCCACAATACAAGGGGTCAATGGTGGGATCAGATTCTGAGATTTGTCAGAAAGACCATTCTCTCCGTCGTCGAATTCTGTGCATATATGTTGATCAGCCTGAATTCCTCTTCTTTCCATTTAATGTGTAGCAGGCACCATCTTCCTTCAGCCAGATCCGCTTTCTTGTCTATAATTGAGCCTGCTTTATATAATCGAGAGGATTTGGGAATCGGGATTGCGGTCCCTTTGGAGCTTGTGGAGGGGTCAGCTGACCATAATTCATCTTTTAGGCCTCCGAGTTCCCTTGCCAGGAATGAGCGGATTTTGTTATGTTCGATCGAGAAAGTGAGATGAGTTTCTTGGAGTATTAAAATATCCACCACTTTTCTGTTCTCCATTGTTAACCCTGACAACAGATCGTTCATCTTTTCTTCTCTTTCCACTATATTCCCAAGTCGATTGACATTCCAACTTCTAATGACGAGCCCTTGAATCTTCCAATCAATGCGATCCCCTGCCTCGTTAGCCCTTAGTCTATAGCTCTCCATGGTTGCCTTTGTACCGGGTCAGGGGGATTGATTGGTGGGGGGGTCTCTAAGTCGAGGTGGGGGGGGAGGGTTTCCA